AACAATGTTTTCCCTCAAAGTGTTGGCTCTTTTCAGTGTTATGTTATTTTGCATAACATTGTTTTCTCCATGTCCTCCCTCTCCCCTCCCTCCCTCCCCCCCTCCTCCCCACTTCTGTTTTGTTCTCTCTCATTCTCTCACATTGTCCCTTTATCTCTCCTAGAATTCCTTTCCCTCACTTCTTCTTCAGAGTTGCCTAATCCTCTCTCCTCCAACACTCTTCAGACTCCTCCATGGCTCTCCAAGGCACTTCCACAAAGGCAGCGCATTGCTATGTGCTCCAGGTTTTCTGCCATGGGCCACTCATAATTCACTTGATCCTCTCTCGTTTCAAACATATTATCTTTTATTTGCTCATCCCTTTCCCCACAATTTTTTTTACAGTGATATTTGAGGGACTTACAACAAGCAAGTAATACACTGGCATGCACCCTCAACAGGTGCGAGCTGTATGTATTTCGAGCAACAAGAACAATTCTTCATGCACAGTAGACTAAGTAACAGGATTTCTGGGAAATCATTTATCAAAGAAAAACGATATTTTATTTTGTAGAAAAGAACCAGTCCTTTTGGCTTCTACCTCTGTGAGCTATTTCCTGTAATGACTGCAGTCATAAAATCTTAATTGATGTCATTTTCCACCTAATAGAACGGCCAAGGACTTGGTCATCACAGAGTCGCTCCAAAGAGAGGAAAAGGGTCTGGGCACCCTGGGAAGTCCTACAGGAATATTTCATCATATTCTGTTCCACAAATTGTTAACTCTTTGCTAGGATCTGCTGAAACTGTAAAACTGAGGCTTTGAAATCCCAGAATTGGGCCATTATGGGTACTGTCTAATTGAGATCATGGAACTCCAGCATTGCAAGGAAACTGGAATAATGTGGGCTGCCGCTCATTTGGCAGATCAGGACAGTGGGGTCCAGAGTGGTCAGGTAACTTTCTCAAAGTCGTACAGTGTGCTGGTGACAGACCAGGAAGTAGAACCTTCCCAGGTCTTGTGATTCCAAGTTCTTATCTCCCATCAGGGTCACTGTCATTACCGTATCTAAAGATTGGCTAGAGAGTTCCTCTCAAGGTCTAGAATCAAAACAATCTCCAGGGACCAAGCCAAGTGGGACAACCCATGGGGAACACTTGGTATTTTATAAACTTTCTATTTCATATTACACAAAGTAAGTTTAATTTGCCATCCGGGGCAGAAGTTAATTACATACAGTGGAGTTGTGATTTAAAGTTTTAACTGTAAGAAGAGTTTCAGCAAGTATGTCACAATGTTTACACCCAAGGGAGATTTTATTCCCAAATAGTGAATGTTGAAAGGTGAGAGATTTTCCCAGAGATGCTGCCATTTATTTCAGCTGCTTTCAAAGCTATTCTCAGAGGTTAAACCTTTTCCATTGTTGGGTTGCTCTAAAAAAAATATGGAAAGCAATTTCAAAAGAGGACGTTGAGAAATTTTAAAAGATGATAGCATTATTTCAATTCTGTCAAGGTTAAAATCTTTCAAGGTGCCTGTCACGGTTGTGCGTGCCTGTGATCTCAATACTAGGGAGGCTGAGGCAGGAGGATCGTCACAAGTACAAGGCCAGCCTGGACTATACGGTGAGACCCTTTCTCAAAAAGAAAAACAAAAAATCTCCCCAGGTGACTGCTTTGAAGAAGCTAGTACTCAATGAATATTTTTTTTTTCTTTTCCAAAATAATATTTAATCTTTTATTAGGTAAATATACTTTTCATGCGATCTTCACGTTTGCTGCTATTGTCCGCTTATATATTTGCTTGAGGCTGAGATACAGAATTAGGTAGAGAGTGCACTCTACGTTTGGTCTCCGCTATCTTCAGACCCAAGATCTGGCTTTGATAGACAAAACTGTGAAGAAGCTAACTGACTTTTCTAAACTCACTTTCCTTTAAATAGAGTAACAAAGTTTTCCACATAAAGGTGTTCAGAGACTATACGTGAGAAAATGAAAGTTGAGGTGTTTTGTAAATTGCAAAATATGCATTACTCTACCACTGTACATCTACCACAAGGATCACACGCAGGTTTCTATTCTTCCAGAACCCCCTTGTAATTTATATTGACAATGAACATTTGTTTCACCACTGGGGATTGAGCCCAAGGCCTTTTCACTGAGCCTTTTTTAAAAAAAATCTTTAATTTAGGGCCAGCATCTCACTAAGTCACCCAGGGTGGGCTAGAACTTGCAATGCTCCTGCTTCAGCCTCTGGAGTCCTGAAATTACAGGTGTGTGTCATCAGGCCACCCCACAATTAACATCCTCAATCTACACTGCTGACTATGACCAAGACAAGAGTGTGCTCAACTGAATCAAACAATGTCACTACAGTAACTCCTACAATAACTTCAACTACAATCACCTCATTAAAAATCGGAGGAAAATCGGCGGAGGCAAGACTCAAGGTCTGCATTTCCACTCTCATGTAGTTTCACTTAAGTTGATTCACTAATGTAAGACACAGATTTAGCATTTTTTGGTATTTCTTTAAGACATTCAAATTCAAAGTAAATGACAAATTTTAGTGACAATAACAGATCCCCACTTTTAAATACTTTCAGTTATTCCATAATAAAAGCAGTTTTTTTCCACAGCTACAAAGCCTAAAAATCAAATTCCTATTTTAGAATTCTATCAATAATTAATTGAATTAAATGAGCCAATCTTCTCAAAATGGTTAACTAGGAAACATACCCTTGGTAGGAGACAGTAAGTCCGGCCACCTCAGAATTTTCACAGCCCAGGGCAAAGAGGGAAAGGAAGAGGAGGTAACCAAAGACAGATGATCCCAAGTAGAGTTTGGCAGCTCCACACATGCTGAGTTTGAATCTTTTCATGACTATTCCCCCAGAGAATATTCCTAGGGCCACTGCCGGTATGTTGATGAGCCCTGAGGAGAAAGGAAAACACATCATTTTGTAAATCTCCAAAAGAAGCCCATGTGCACTCACACAAACTTCCTGAGCCATTATGCAAAGAACAAATTAAAAAACAAACAAAAAACTATGCAATTTTCCATACATAAATATTAGAAAATTTTATCTTTTTTACAGAAATATCCACTCTTTGTCATCTACTATCATACACCAAGAGCATTTGATGAGAGTCTAGGTCAATATTTTCTTCTTTAGAAATCTAACAGGCACAAAGTAGTGGAATGACTTTTATGAAATAATGTCATCTGAAACTACTACAGATTGGCCAGCCCTCCAAAAACTGAAGAAAAAATTTTATTCCTAATTATCTCATAACGGACACATAAATAATCTATATGTATTATATTGGGCAGGTCCCTGAGTCTCTCAGGACTTTAGCTATTTTCACCTGTGATAATAATCATTAAAAGTATTTTTTGAGGTAAAAATATATCAATTACTACCTCCAAATAAATGTGATTACATATAATTTAACTTTCTGTTATAAGTTGCTCTATCTAAATAATGCTCTTAATTTTCCTTTATGAAACTCATTTTTCAATTTGAAAATGAAAAACTTATCATTCCAGTGAGAAAAAAATTTAAATGCCCTAAAATTCAAAATATTGATACAAAGTATTGATATGAGAAATAAACATTTACTTAAAACCCTATCCTATTACTACTGTTCACAGAGAATAATGGTCTTTCTTATTTTCACTGAGCCTTGACCCTTTCCTTCAGAAAAGATGATATGAAAAGACTTATAACTATGTGAACACTAAAAGAATTAATACTAAATTCTAATATTAGCAGTAGTGTTGGAAAAATAGTTTGATAACCTTGGGATTTAACAAGGATTTATCAGAACAATCAAAATCACACTAATGAAAAGGAAACATTAAAAATTGGTCTAAATACAATTAAGAAGTTCATCACAGCAGAATAAAAAGGCAAGAAGTTTGTAAGAAAATACTTATAACACTACGTGCAGTAAAAAACTTGAATCGTGGAAAATATACAGTATTCCAACAAAAAAATAGGAAAATGATATGTAAGCAAAAAGTCAAATGGGCCAGTGACTGATTAGAATTAGTAAAAGACTATGTTGAAAGGACAAATGAGCCCATGCAAAAGTGTTCAACATCAGTGATAATCAGATAAATGCAAATTACGGGACAATGAGAAACTCCGTGACGGTTTAGATCTAGAATGTACCACCACATTCTCAGGTTTTCAGAGGTGGTGTTCTTGGAAAGTGATTGGAGCACTGGGGCATTATATGCATCAGAGAATTAATGAGAGCTGAGTATGCTGTTAGGAGGTGGGGTGGAGCTGGAATAGGTGTTCCTGGGGGCGTGACCCGGAAGGGCATTTATCCCTCCCCAGCTCCTCCCTTTACACTCTCCTTCCTGGCTGCCTCGGGAGGAGCAGCTGTCCCCTGCCCAGGTCCTCCTGCCAGGCTGTTTCTGCCTGAAGCCAGACAACCAGGAACTGAAACCACGAGCCAAACTAAAGCCCTCCTCCTTTAAGTTATGAGTGTTGTATATTTTGTGCCAGCAACGACAAAGTGACAAAAACACCACCCCATATCCCAGAAGAGTGGTTGGAATGAAAAGACTGGCCATGCCGAGTGCTGACAAGGATGTGGGGCAATTGGAATGCTCTCACACTTCTAATAGGAGTATGACTTTGCAGTCCCCTCGGCACAGACACATAGTCCCTGTGGCCAGCAACTGTACTCCATAGTGTAGCCAAAGGATATAGGTGTATCAGCTCCCCAACATATAGTATGCGGAATAGACACAGCAATGCTATTTGTAAGGGCAAAAGTCAAAAACGAATCCAAATGTTCATCAGCAATAAAAATGAATAAATTCAGATATATTCTATTAGTACACTGTTGTACAACAGTGAACAAGAACAAAGCAACTGCAGTACACAACAACGTGAATGAATCTCGTAGATTTCACTTCAATTGAAATAAGTTAGACAAAAAAAGAATATTCACCATTCAATTTATATGGGAAGTTCGAAAATAGGCAGGACTGATCCATGATGATAGAGTTCAGAGTAAATACTAGCTTTGTGGACAGGCACTGACTAGAGAGAGTATTCTGGGGTCCTCAAATGTGCTCTGGGCTCTACATGGTGTTACTACATAGGCACACGTGAGCATACATATACACAGATACACATGTAAACATGCATACGTAAACATTTATTCATATAGCCAATTCTGTAGACTAAACTGCTGGTTGTAAATTGCACATTGATAACTATATAGAAGCTACAAAGAAAACGAATATTTCAAGTTTCCATTCCACATATATTCTTGGTAAAACCAACATAAAGCATCATTGGCAAGGAAAGGAGTTTGAGGAAAAATCTAAAATATTTCTTCAAGTCAAACATAAAATAGTATGATTCAATTATCTGAACCAGTTAATGTTAAAGGTGAAAAAGTTCATTCAGTAATCTAACCTCTTAACTTTTAGTATTTTGGAGAAGAGCCCAAACAAAGGGTCTTTTCGATTCGCATCGGCTGAATACTACTAGAGAGGCTTAGGAGAGGAAAATTATATGTCCCCAAATAGGCTCAGCATTTTGGTGTTTTGTTTCTTTGGTTACAGAAAGAGATACATGGAGTGATTTTTCATATCTCCCATGGAGAATAAATTATGTTAAACTATTGGACTCTCTTATCATAAAGGAGTGTGTCCAAAGAATATATTATCCAAAAAAATAGAATATATTTTATATCTTGAAACAGTAATATTAAATGACGTTGTCCTGGACTAAAGAAACAACCCTAGGTTTTTAAAGTACCCAATTACTTCCAGGGTAATCATCATATGCTGGTCTTGATTTCTTCATGCTTTTCTTGGCCCTTGAATACTATTCTGATTAGTGACTTAGAACTGTTAGAGACACAGCTCTTAAATAACTCAATCACTAGGAATCAGAAAAGTCTTGGAGTCATGGTAAACACCTTTTAATCTATCTAAGTCACCATTTTATATCATTCCAGAAATTGACACCATTACATCAGTTCATGTATACTTGCTAATCTTGTGACGTTTCAGCTAAACTTCAAACACAACTACTCAGCATTAATGATTTCCTAATAAAATGCATATAGGATGTTACTTTTTCAAGAGCTTTGAGAATTTGTCTCTAGGTCACATACAGTTAGGAATAATACTTGCTATACAGTTGTGCCACAGACTAAATACTTTATTCTGCTACATTTTTTTTCTACTTACTTTTTGATGTCACCTAAAATGCCCTAGATTACCTTCAGTCTATAATTACTGGAACAACTGAAGATTACTGAGAGTAAACAGATGCCAATTACGGCACTGCATGTAGGAAGTGTGGAGGACAGGCGAGCATACCTATGACAAAGTTGGCCTTGGAAGATGACTGTCCATATTGCTGCTCGATGTACTTTGGTTTATATGTCACCATGCCAAATAGAGAATTGAACTGAACAGTGCTTGCACACAAATATAAGAAGTACACTGGGTTTCCCAAAAGACTTCTCAGTGATGGAAGAAAATCTGTAAGACAATATGGAGTAGTGTATGACAGTGTCATGACTGGTAGAAGATTGGCTAGAGTTTTGTCCCAGAGTTTAGGAGTGTTTTCAGGGAGGTTCATTTCCACACTGAATGTGTGTTAAGTCAGTGGCACAAATCCAGGCTGCAGCCTGGCCATGTTCGAATCCAGACACAAGCCCTCGCTTCTAGAGGCATACAATACAGTTTATCTCACAGCAAAAAAAATCAGAAACAGATTTCTCTAAGTGATACGTGGGTCAAAGACCAAGTGACTGAGAGAATTCCCCGGCCACTCAGCAGGAAGCTGTGGGCAGGGCATCAAGCACTTTAAGTTGGGGTATCTATTCTTCAAATTCAAGTCTTAGCCACAGGGAAAGAAACAGGAGAATTATCTCCTTTAACCTCAAGGAATATGGTTGGTTTTGCTTTGGAATAGAGCTTTGACATTCTTCCTTTTTCCTTTTTTGTAGCAAAGTAAAGAATTTCTAAAAATGTAAATATAGCATTGCTGAAATGAGGAAATGGGGCTAATCTCCTGGTGGCCCATTTCCATGGAGAGAATTCGTTAGAACACTTCTGTCCCCCTAAACTCCATTCCTGCCACTTACTTCTTTGATCATTATTATAAGACATACATTAAAGCACAATTCTGAAATGGGCACATCTCATCTGTTAAAAAGCTGCAAGTCATGAAGATTCTTTTTTTTTTTTCCCCTGTCCTCTGGACTTATAGAAAGCATCAATTCTGGGTAAAAATAATTATAGGGACTCAACTGAGGAAGTATGACAGAGAGGAGATGCATGCGAGGAAAATTATCAAGGTTTCTGGGCATGTGTTTTAATCCATTTTCTTATAAGAATACTGACTTTGATCTTTCTGTTTCCTGTAAGTCTCTCTCTCTCTCTCTCTCTCTCTCTCTCTCTCTCTCTCTCTCTCTTTTAATGCAGGGGAGGAAGAGAGTGGTATTGCTTTTGAATCCCCTAACACCTTAACAGGAAAACTGAACTTACTTCAAAATCAAGAAAAATCTGATTTACCTCTTGCCATTTCCAATATTTTTGCTTTTTCTCCAGCGTGTGTTTGGTATTTTATCTGATCATCTATAATAAACTTGGATTTCTCTGAAGAATTAGAGTCTTCTCTGCTTTGGGGTCTCGGTAGGCTCTTGGGTAAACACCAGAAAGGCACAGCTGCAAGAAGACTTACGGCCCCTGCTATCAGATAACCAAGCCACCAGGCCCCTACCCACTGAGAGTCCTTCGGAGTAATGGTTATGTGGTCTGAAAGACAGACAAGATGACTGAGCAGCATACAGATCAACGCCACGGTGTGAAATATGCTACTTTAAATCAAAATGAAATCCTAGCACTAGTTCTATCACATCCTTAAAAATACCTAATAATTTATACATGATGCACACACGCATACACACGCGTTTGTTTTCAGTATCATTATTTTGTTTGTTAAAGGGATTTGGGTCTTTCTGAAAGACGATGTTTCCTTCCTCAGTTTCTTCAGTTTAAAGTATATTCTACAAGGGGTCTCCTGATTTTCAATCTGCCATCTGGTCTTCAGGCAGGAGAAAAGCGATGCGTGAGGGAAAATTAGGATGGCTCAGAACCTCCTACACTGGCCACACCGCATCAGGGTCACATCCCTTTGGCTTGCATATTGAATATCTGTTTAAGGTTTTACTTAACAAGTTACACTCTGCAATGCCCAGCCCAAACCTACTGGAAGGCTCTTATTTCACAGGTGGTAAAGCTAAGGCTCACCTGGGTTAGTATTGGCAGAGTGTCATTTATTACATGATTATTAATAATACTTTAGAGCTACTCTAAGTCTGAAGCAAGGTATGTATATGTAAATAAAACTTCAATTTTCTCACAAAAAAATGTCACACCATTTCTGACAACTTCAAAGCGAACACTTGGTTTTCTGAATCAAAGTAAGTGGGCTCTTCTTTTATTCTCTGTAAGAAGCTACAAAACATGTCCCTACACATCCACCACACTGAAGACAAGAGGCATATGAACACATGTCCTCTGACAGGCAGGCTCGATATCAGTGCACTATACCAGGTGAAACGTGATCACTAGCTCATCCCTGCACATTAGCTGCTTCTCCTGAACGATCCTCCTCCGCAACAGTCCCCACACCAATACTCAGTCAAGTATATCAGTCTCTACTGCTGGATTTTAAACTGCAAGAAGCCAAAGAATTCAACTGTTGTGCTCACTAGTGTAGAGGGGCATTTGGGACAGGATAAATATAAAATAATTTTGAGGGAGGTTATGAATGAATAAAGAAAATCTTGGAACACATATTTCAGTCTATTTGATTGAAACAGTACAAGAATTTTGCATTCTAACACACAATGACTTCATCATACAGTACCAGATTTTTTTTTAATGTAGCTTATTGCTTCTAATTGATTTTTGGACTTATTTTTGTAAAGAAAACAATGAGTGACTGATATCTATTCCTAAGGGGTATTTCTCACAGGGATGGAAATAAATTAATAGTCTTGGAGAAATCAGTCCCTTCCCGTTTGTTTCCTGAACAAGCAATCTCCTAAAAGGAAAGCTTGTCTTGCTATAATATGCCTTCATTTAAAAAAAAATGTTCATTAAGAAAAGAAAGCTTGAGGAAGGTTTAGATGCCAGACATTTTAAATCTCTGGTGTTTCTGGAAGTCCCCAAATACACTAGCAATTGATGTAAGTGTAATAAATGTCACACCTGAGACCAACAAAAGTCAACATGTAGCCACTTTCTTAACTGTGTATGAACTGCATTTTTATTAGAAAACCAGAAGAGAAATAGGATACATCTTCATAAGAAACTATGGGTCATTAGTTCTAATTACCAGCAATTTTTCATATTCCATCTATTAATGCATGTGATAGTGACAGTGATACATTTCCCATAGACTCTTCATTTTATAAAGATTAACACCCTCTCTTTACCATTTATAAAAAGGTAACTTGATATTTTCCACACTGCTTCCATTTTTAAAATAGCAGTAACCAAATTAAAATGAATAAATAAAAATAAACCCCCTTACCTAGGTTTACAAAGCCAATATCCACATACAATTTGGCACATAATGAGCCCAACAGGAAGCCAAAAATTGGTCCAATAATTGCAACCGTCTGCACACACCCTGTACCAAAAGAGAAAGAAAGAAGCTGCCATTTATTTGCTTTGATAAATTAATAAAATTTTAAACAAGAAATGTGAGTGAGATCCGTAAGTAGCTGCAGATGTTTCAGCTTTTCCTTTGTATGTGTTTAATTTGTCCATTTTTCAACTGCACTGAGTCGGGAAATAAATCCTTCTCCGCTTAGGGAGAAGAATGAACACTTCTGAAGCCTTAACTGCCTCCTAGAAAATAATGCCAAGAAGACTGAAGAAGTTAATTTCCCAGAAGGAGGCAAATTGTAGTCTCTAGGATTAGATTGTCCACTGTTACAACTTGGAATTTTACTAACTTTGGTAGCCTTTCAAAATGTTTTATGGTCAGTTAAACATGAGATTCATCTTGACATTAAAATTGACTCCTTCCACCTTAGTAAAAAAAGTGCATCCGTTCATGCTGAGGTTCTGTGGGACTGGCTTTGAGAAGAGAGCTTCTGCAGACTGCAGGAAGCAGCCAGCAGAGGTACTGGACTTTGCAGCAGGAAGGTACAGGTGACTGGAACAGATTGCCTAAAAGGGCACCATTCCCGGTAGCTCTTGCTACAAAACATCTCCTCCATCTACCTTTCATTTCCCTGCAGAGCTCAAAGTTCACACACCCCACAGAGGCCAATTTAAATTAACTAGAGGAATAAATACCAGTTACCAGGCCCTTTGCAGAAGAGAGGAGAAGGCAAACAGGATCCTGGAGAGGATGAAAACTCCTGGCTGCCACTTCTCGCCAGTATTTTCCCAGTGCGTATGATGGACCATTTGTTCCACTGCCAGTTCCTGATTTATGCTGTAATGTTTGATGAAAGCAAGTGCTCGGTTGGTAATTCCGGCCTGCTTGGCTGTAAGCAGAATACCCTGGAGTTCCATAGTGCTTAGCCAGTGATGGCCCCAGAGTGGATTTAAGCGAAGACCTCTTAAGTCTCGCCCACTGTCCCTGAAAAAGGACCTTCAAAAGGTCAGAACTCCAATAAATCAACACTGATGTGTGAAATGGAACAAACTGTAGTCATTCCTGTAACTCTAGATTCTAGCTTAATTCCTAGTGTGTAAGAAGGACCCCCTAAAAGCTGTTCAGATGCATCTGGCCTTGAGAGTTTGCCTCTGCTACCTTACTTTGAGTTTTGTGACTTCAGCTGTTGGTCTCTCCTCTGAAACCTCTTTGGGAAATGGGGTATCCTCAGAGCTTGCTCCTAGCCTGTTTATACTTGTCTTTATTGGCTGTTGTTATCAAGATCCCAGAATTAACCACTGCCTAGTCCTCACAGAAAAAAAAAAAAATAGAAATCAGTTTCTAGAGCTGCAGGGAAAGAAAATGTATTTAAAAAATCATCACACATAGATGCCTCAATGGTATCCTTATTCTGATAAAAATAATCTATGAAACCTGAAGCCCAAAGATATTTTCACAAGGTCCTGTGTCACTGCAGTTGAGCTCAAAGCTGTTTTCTTCTAATCTGGTGTGTTCTTTACCTATACTACAATAGGTCCTTCTAACTTATGAGGTACCTTAATCATCCAAATCCAGAGTGTGCGCTTCAGAAATGTGTTCATTGGACAGGCAGTGGAGATGGAGTACAAAACTCCCCACACCTCGTACAGACACGCTACCTACATTAGTACGGCAGGGAACTGAGCAGACTGGGCACCCTGCTTCCCAAGATGACGGGTGGGCGTTACCGATATAGAAAGCGGCATTGTCTTCACTGGCAAAGTCATCCAGATAGGCAATGCCCAGAGGCTGGATAGGAGTTTCTCCCAACCCACGAAGAAGATTTCCCAGGAACACATAAATCCACATGGACGAGCTGGCATCCACGGCACATTCTTGAAGGGAAAGCAAACAAGAGGGTTACGATGAGATCACTGTCAAAACTAAATATTTATTCTGAATTCTACAACGGGTTCTAAGATCCAGCTAGAATGCAAAAGTAAAATCGGCAGCAGACCTAATTTGATAGGAGTTTGGACAAACTCAGAAGGTGTTTTGTGCCTTCAGTCTCTTACGCAGTTACATACCCTAGAGACTGGACCTGGGAGCTCCTACTGCTTCCTGGTCCCACTCAATCTTGTCTGTTTCTTCTTTTCTTTTTGTTCCCATGCAGGGCTATTTGCGTTCCTATACTCCAATAACATTCAGTATCCTATCTTGGGTGAGACAGATTTTGAGCAAAGAAAGGCCTTCTCACCTTACCTTTTGGACTTTTCTGTGTTTCAACAGAAATCACATGTAATTTTATTGTTGAGCAAATTGTATCTGAAACGCAAAGTTTTGTGTAGTGGATGCTCAACACAGGGCAGGACTGTCCACCATTCCACTTGTTAGTGATTAAGCAATTTTAATATTCCCCAAACCAATTCCAAAAGTATCATGCTTCAGCAGTATGAATATTACAGCAAAAAGAACTTACGGCACTATTGTGAGAGTAAAATTCAAAGCTAACAATTTTAAGGTGCATTCATAAAAGTCATATCATGTTAGGACCATGTGTATTGTGAATGAAATACAGTTCTAAAGAGATTAGCCACTTCGATAAAACTGATAATGTCAGCCACCTCTGGTGTTCACATCTGACTGTCCCCTCTCTCCCACACACTGAGTTGTGCTTTGCAGACATTTTTTAGTATTTCTTTTTTTTTAATTCATTAAGTTAATTGGTCCATTTTAGGTATACAATATGATGGCCTGCATCATTGGGAATTTGTACCTTTACATGATGTATCTCGGTTCTTATTTTTTTCCCATTCGCCTGCCCTCCCCTCAACCCCTCTACCTCTTCCTGTTTTCAAAGACTTCATGTTTTTTTCCTTGTCTCATATTTATTCCTTTACCTTCTCTCTTTTCCCCTACACCTCCCACTTCCCCTTCCCCTTTGGAGCCTTTCTTCTGATTTACATTTTCTATTATGCATTTTGGTCCTTACGTACGCATTCAGTTTTGTTAGGTAGCGGGTAGGCCAATTACTAACCCTTAAAGTGACTTCTGATTATGAAGCGTGGGCTATGAGTGACTGTACAGTGGGTAGATGGAGCTCCAAACTCTTTAGCCAGCAACTTGTCTTCATATGTGGACACAAATTAAGTTTATTATCTATTGTATTACTTTTATTACTTATTTATACTTTATTACTATTACCTTTTGCTCTTTTCCTTTGATTTGACCATGTACTCCTGAATGTATCTATTACCTTCTTTTAGATTGTCTTGGTCGAGAATGCTTTTCCTTCTTTTCAGATTGCAGGTAAAAGTAAACACTTGCATTTTTATGTCCTTTGCTCTTCTTCCCCTCTCCCACATTTCCATATTTTTAGCCCTCTGACCCTTCTTTCCATTCGAACAGCCAGACGACAGTTCATTGCCCAGGAAAAGACAACTCAACAATATTAAGAAAGATATTACTGGGAGATGAAGGCTTTATGGAATAGATAGAGGTGTGGCTGGGTAGCAGGTGCACACAAGGAAGGCTTCAGGGCTTCCCATACAGAATCAGTTCCCCAGGAAGGAGCAGGCCGCGAGATGGGGGAAGATGGGGGTGAGCTGGAATGGGAATCACCAGGAGGAAGGCTGCATTCTCCTTGTTCATGCTGAACCCTGGGGACTTCGTGACACCTCTGGACACATCTGTAGGCTCTGTGAGCAAGGAAGACCTGTGCCGCCTTGGCCAGCAGAGCTCAGGGAGGCTGCAAGACCCCTGGTTTAAAAGAGCTGCTCAGCATAGCTCAGCATCCCCGCCTGAAGCACCGCCCAGGGCTTCCAATGGTGAGAGGGCCAGAGAGGAAATGATTTCCACATTCGTAAGGGCGGCTCACATGTGTCATTGCTGCTTCATGTTACAGTCAGTGGAACACCAGACAGGCTGGCACGATTCCCTGCACTCTCAGGCTTGCGGAAAGTGGAATTATTTCCCTGTACTCAAGACAGCCTCTTCTCTCTGAGAGAGAGAGCTACTATGCTACAATGGGTGTGGGCAAAAACAGAAGCTGAGCCCCTTCCTTGAATGTACACGGTGACCAGAGGGTTCCAGACCTCTAAACTGACATAGGACTGATAAAACCAACCCCACCTTCCACGCAGGCTCCCTGCACAGTATCAGGGAGTAACACTTGCGGAAAAGGTCGCAGGTTAAAGGACAAATTGAAATGAAGTGTTTGCCATTCTGGTGAAATTAAACAAGAAATTACATGTATTTACCTCTGAGCAACTGACTGAGATACATTTGTGCTAAACTAGCATCACCTGGCTTACCAAGCCCATCTTTTCTGGACCCATTGGAATATTTTCCTATTCACCAGCAACTAAGGCTTCTTCCATAAGGTTTGATGATCTGTATGTTTTCTATGATCCCATCATATACTACTTTACACTCTAGGACTTTTATGGCACTTTAATAGCCATTTAAATTGTAACACATTTAAGAACAAAAATCACAAAGATTTTTTTCTATCCATACTAAAGTATATGATTACATAAATATATGGTAAAAATAGTTTGCTTGGTGAAGTAAAGCAGTAACAACAAAAAAAATCACTTACCATCACTTATTTGGGGTTGTGATTTTTCCATAACTGAAATTGGTAATTGACTGCTTGGCTCTAGGAGACATGGAGAGAAGCTAAGAGTAGAATTGGAGAAAGGCAAATATTTTTCATACTTGTACCTGTATGAAGAAAAAAACATTTTCTTAGGACAGACACAGTAGCGTCCTGCTAAAAAACATTATCCATATGCTCCCCAACTCACTGGGACATCTGGTTGATCTTGTGGCTCTCACTGAACCTAAATGACTAATGCGACCAGCATTATAAAGCTGTTTGCTGAGGAGGAAATAGTAAGGTCTGGTCCACAGTTTTTGAACTATACCTGGGATGGCCAATTACCCAGTGAAAGAAAATAAATCCAGGAGTTACTTACAGACACTCACTGTCATAGAAAAAAAATGACTGTGAATCACCTATTCCTTTGGTACAAAAGTATGCAAACATGAAAAGATCATAGTTTTCTCTGAGTGAGGAAAATAAAGCCATCATTGAATAATTCACGGCCATGTGTACACTACATTTAGAGTTATAAATGTAACAGAACAAGTGGAAGGCTGATTCTAGAGAACAGATCATGATAGATGGGCTTTTTGAACAATTTATCCAGAGGGTGTTTTGCTTTTTCTCTGCATTTTATTAATCTGGCCCCAAGTTATTTCTAATTCCGTCTTTTCCTCTGTTTCTAAGGTTATGAAGGCCCCCAAGCCAGTGTTCGATGGCCGAACTACGGGAATGTTTTCTGCAGTTCCCCACCTCAAAATCTCATTCTGAAAACCCCATGTGAGCCAAGTTCTCTGGTTCATTTTTATCCTTCAGGGAAGATGTACCTAGTTAAAAAAAAAAATCACACACCATCTTGATTCTTATTTTGTGCAGGTACTACATTACTAGAAGCTAATAGTCCTAGTAATGTATTGAAATAGTAATTGTAAAAACCTGCCTACTCCATCATGGAAAGGAAAACTATATTGAGGTATTAAAACATTTCAGTTGCTAGCTAAGTGGGTACTTCCTATCTATCTTGCATAAACTGCGATTTAATAGGTCCATGAACCCCACTGCAAATATGAAAACACTTTACAGGTGTGTTTTCATGTAAATCTTTAATGGAAGAGGTTCAGTTTTCATCCTTTTATCAAATGGGTCCTTGACCTAAAAAGGTGAAGAGTTAGTGACTGACAGTAGCTGCTTTCAATTCTCAACTGTACAGGGCACACTTAGTATTGAAATCACAGTCAATACAATTTCACAAATTATTACAGAAACCGTTGAAGGGAGTACTGATAGTGATTTTGCAGTATTTTTAAATTATTTAATTATTTGAACTTTCTGAATTATTTCTGTCCAAAGGTAACTGTGGCAAACATAACTGCTTAGATTTGAATAAAGACAATCTTATATAAGGTTCACATAGGTCACTTTTTATTTGTGACAATCCCCCCCAAATTAACTTCTTTAGGTTTCATATACTCAGCTGTACAATGAGAGCCATCCATGTAGTCTTGAGACAAGTTGAATAGGGAATAATGTCATCCTCAATTTGGGTGCTTTAGTTCTGACTTGTACTCAAATTCTAATGAATGTGATCTTGATTGTACTGCATGAAATTCTACAGCAGATTCCTATTTTCCATTTTTCCAAGCTTGCCCCACCAGACTCAACTTTTTAAAAAATATAAGTCAGATAACCTTACTTTGCTCCTGACTCTGTAGCGGCCCCCCTCTTTTAGAGGAGAATCTAGACTCCTTGCAACTGTTCCCAGCCCACTACTCAAAGGATGGTCTGAAGACCAGCAGGGTCGGGCAATCTGCATTTCACCGAGAGCCTCGGGTCACTCGGATGTCCACTGATGTTTGAGAAATACCCTAAACACACTATCGCTTTCCCACTGAGTTCTCAGCTTCACGCCTGCTTTCTCATTGCTGTTTCCACTCAAGTCCCATGGACTCCTTGGAGCTCATCCACACTCCAGACTCTCCTGCTGCAGAAACCCCCGCACTTCCCCTTTATTTAGGCTGGAAGTCATCTTCCCTCGCTATCTGCACGGATCTTCCCTTTTTTCAGGTCTTCCTCAAGCGTTACCATCTCCTTGAAACTAAAATGCAACCCCTGCCCCATACACACACTCCTCACGTGTCTTCATGGGGTTATATTTCTCTATAGTTCTTTTCATACTCAGACACACTGCATCATGATTTCTTTTCCATCTCCTCCTCATAATATCCATGAGGGCAGAGATATTTTTCCGGCCCTATCCTAACACCATTACCCAGAACAAAGATTTGTTAAATTCATGAGTTAGATCAGCTAAACACAGGAATCCTAACTTAGCCTGTTGGTGGTAGGTCGTTAATGATTAATATCCATGCTCAGTAGATTTTGTTAGACATCAAGGGTATTTCTGCTAGGCAGAGTATAATAGGCTTCCAGAGAGTAACAACATCAAAATTACGGATCAGTACTCCTTTACTGAATTGTGTTATGAAAAGTTGAAAAGTTCTTATATTAAACCATGATAGAGGGCTGAGGATGTGGCTCAGTGGCACTGTGCCTGCCTGGCAAGCACAAGGTCCTGAGTTCAATTCCTGGTACTAGAGGAATAAAAACATTAAAAACAAAAACAAAAACAAAACAAAAAAAAAAAACCTCGCCAGGTGTAGTGGCGCACTCCTGTAATCCCAGCACTTGGGAGGCTGAGGAAGGAGGATCGCTGTGAGTTCAAGAGCAGCCTGGGCTACACAGTGAGTTCCAGAGCAGTCTCAACTACATAGTGAGACCCTATCTCAAAACAAAAACAACAAAAAAAAAAAACCTCGCCAGGTGTAGTGGCGCACTCCTGTAATCCCAGCACTTGGGAGGCTGAGGAAGGAGGATCGCTGTGAGTTCAAGAGCAGCCTGGGCTACACAGTGAGTTCCAGAGCAGTCTCAACTACATAGTGAGACCCTATCTCAAAAAACAAACAAACAACAACAACAAAAAAAAACCTTAATAGAAAATCTCACAAGAGAAAGCACTGTATGTGTTTCTTTTCTCACTAAACAGTCCCATTAACTGGAATAGTACCTTGCAAGTGGCAGACACTAAATAATGAATAAACAAATATATCCTTCAATTTATTAAGCAACACCTTCAAGACAAAAGCATTGTTCATTACAATGAAGAATTACATTGTTTATTACAGTTTAAAATTAGGTGGTATAGGGCTGGGGATTTGGCTCAGTGGTTCTGTTTCCTGCCTCGCAAGCACAAAGGCCCAAGTTCAATCCCCAGTACGAAAATCAAAACAAAACAAAAACTAAATGGTATAGCTGGGCATGGTGGTGCAAGCCTGTAACCTGAATAGTACTTGGGAGGCAGGGGCAGGAGGATTTGCCTGGAGTTCAAGGCCAGCCTGTGCTACACAGTGAGTCCAAGGCCAGCCTGAAGTGCATAGCAAGAACTTGTCTCAAAAAAAAAAAAAAAATGAAGTGGTTTAATTTCCTAAAGAAGACTGATAACAATACAACAATAAAAACACAAAATTAATAGCATAGCTATTACTTATGTTAAGAATTTTGATGAGCATTTTATCTGTGTCATTTAAGATGTTAATAACATTAGGACCTAGGTAATATTTTTAATATGCAGAAACTGGAGCCTACAAATACTAACATGATCTGGTATTTATTATGTATAACATTCACTCATGACCCATTTGACATTTGCTACATATGTTAATTTTGCTTTACTTATATATAGTGCCTTTATAACTGAATGAAAGCATTTGACTCATAATATATTGGTAAAATTTTCTCTTTAATCTTGACATCAATACACTGTAGTATTTTAATATTGCTTACATATTATTGTCAGTATTACAATGGACCCTTGATTTATGAACTCAATTCGTTCCCAAGGGCTGGTTATAATTCATATTGGTCAATTGCCTTCAAAATCTCTCTCCTGCATCATTTTAGGCCACATTTTTTTCCAGGTAGATCTCAGTGTCCTTAGACAGACATTGGCCATAAAATTCTCAACCTCATACAGTAAAGGATGTTTTAATGTTCCTTCCAGAACACTTTATGGGTTAAGTCTTATCTGAGACCATTTGGAAGCACAAGCGGCTGGCATTTGGGTCATAACTCAAGACTTTGGTCATAAGTTAAAACTAAAAATTCCAGTCTTAACCCAAGTTATTCATACATAAGTTCAGTCATAGCTCGAGGGTCCACTGAATTATTATGAAACGTTCTCCAAAGATGTAATAAGTAAAAATAAAACAGAAAATCAACATGTTTTAAACATCAATTTAAATAATCAGTTGCAATTGTCCAAGGAAGAAATGCAGATGTTGGGCAAGGCTAGAACAAAATGGCCGCCATAGACTTACTGTTCCATGAAGAACTGAGGCATGGCGATGAGCAGCGTCCCTACTCCCATGATCAGGCAACCTGCTCCAATGATTTTTGGCCTATGAAGTTTGGCTCCAAAGTAGCTAACGAATGTTATAACCAAGAGATTCCCTTTAGGGGAAAGAATAAAGGATTTGTAACAAAGAACTTAGAATACAGTCAGTAGTATGTACACATGAATGAGTGTACATGGCAGATTCAGCCATATTTTTGTTTTGACTAAGCCATCTCCCCACCAACTCCCTACCACTTACCTTTCTGTTACTCTGAGATGACCATGAAATTATCTTCATATTCCTTACCTCAACCACCTCATCCTTTTATCAAAATATTTTAATTATTATCCCACCCACCTTGTTTCTCCCAACCCAATTATTTATCCTTATTTTTTATCAGTAAATTAAGTTATAGAAGGTTTCCTTTACTCTCTTAAATTTTCCTCTGATTTTTGAATCCAAGTTTAGTACTGTTTCTTTACTCATTTAAATTATCTATTAAATTTTCTATTAGTTTCCCAATTGCTTTTAAAATACATAGCACGTTTATCTCTCTAGCTCTATACCCTCTATAGAAGAAGAAAAACAAATAAAAGTGTAGCTCACTTTACATAAAATTAAAATTATGAAACTCATTCATATAAATGATAATTTATAATTTTTATATACCTTTTACAATAGAAAAAATTCACAGAGAATTTCAGGTTTACATGAATTCTATAATGTACATCAATAACACAAACTTTATAACATACAAAATAAAATATACCCATCTATTTTCTTTTAAGGAAACAGTGAAAGAAGGTGGGAATTTTAAAGATTGGAATTAAACTTTCTAAAATGTCTCTAACGAAGCATGAGATAAATTAGTTTTTAGTTAGAAATGGTGATAATTAAAAATACTTTCAAAAAAATTTCTCATGCTTCGCTGTGTACACAAAGTACTGAAAGCCTTGGTTAGGGAAATGGAAACTTGGTAAAACTGCAAATTCTTGGCAAGACCAGACAGTTTCTGATTCTGAGGAACTTGGGCAAGCCAAGAAATCTGCATTTCTAACAGGAGTATTGATGGGGATGGTTCCGGTAACCAGCTTTGATAAACAGTGTTTTGGGTCTTAAATTTTAAGGAGCTTTAAAGTTTTAGCTATTTTCATTTGAGCTATTTAGTTTTAAGAACTGCAGGGATGGATAAAGAACTTAACACTTTCCCAGCAACTGATAGTGATAGCTGATGATTGACCTCACTTTGAAGTCCTGGATGTTTCCATTTTTGCAACAAGAATGTGTTTCCCTCCATCTGTAAGCAATCGTTTAATTTACTGTTTGTCACACTGCCAGCTTCAGTCAAGTAGAAAATGAGCAGTAAATCTTATAGCCTTGAGGACAGTAATAATGATGGTGAGAAAGGCAGTCTGTACAGGGGCTCTTGGCTTTCTGGCTTCAGGAAGAACTAAATTCTCATAGTGTTCACATTTTCAAAAAAAAATAATAAACATGAGATTTCTAATTGGGCATTTAAACATTTAGTAGAAGACATTTGAAATCACATTATACTGATAATTATATTTATGTTTGCTAATGTGCCACAATAAATAAATCAAAATAAAAAGCAAACTGACTTTCCATTTACAGGCAAAGCCCAGTCACCCTCACCTGCTGGTCACAACACTTCACAGTAAGGACTCAGGTTTACAGGCTGTGCCTCTGCTTCATTCACAGCTACGCCAAATGCAAGACACTACCACTTCGGAATGTCTGATACCTAGAGCAATTTTTGCTTCTTCTTTTTTTTTTTTTTTTTTTTTTTTTTTTTTTTTTTTTTTTTTT